GTTATAACGTACGTATTTTGCTTCGTATTTTTAAGTCGATGCCCTCGGAATTCATTCGCGCGGATACAAAGAGATTTGTATCGTATGTAAATATCGGGTATTCGTATTAGGAAGAGACGTCTATTCGTTGGTCACGCGTTCTATTCGGATAACAAATGCCCTCTTATATTTTTCTTATAATATTTGGTCGTTGCTTTACTCGTCCAAAGCATCGCGACATTCGTATACGATATTATCGATCACGAGTATTAGGATTGTTGCGATATTCGCAAAAAATGAAACATTTATCGCATCGGATTGTTTGAAAATTTTGCAGCACTTTTAGCAAACGATATTACCGAAACTCTCGACGATTGTCCTTTGTTATTAACGTTAACGTTTGCCGTTGCAAGTTAAAAATCACAGCCTTTGACGTCATTTAAGGAAAATAGCAATAACGTTATTACCACGTTATATATACAGAATGAGTCTCGTAACACGACGAGCTGAAATAACTCGTAAAATATTTGTTGCGCGAAAAAATGTTTCAGCTAGATGTTGCGTGCTTTTCAGGGGGGGATATAGTAGTTTAATCAATTTTATGTTCTTTTGCTCCTTTATCGAGATACAAAGGTCACCTTTAATTTTTTCAATGGAACTGCTAACATTTCCTGCCGAATTCGGATAAAACGTTGAATTCTACGTAAAAAAGTATCGTACCGAATGGAGTCGAAAATACACAGTTTCCAAGATATTAGCAATACGAGCAGGTAATTGCTTTATCGGTGTGCGAGAAACCTTTTCAAGAGTTGCCGCTGTTATCGTAGAACATGCACGATTAATACATGTCTTCCACTGTCGTTGGCGGCTCGCGATAAACTTCGTGTTTTAATGCTCCCCAAAGGAAATGGCGAAGCGACGTTAAATCTGGCGTGCGACCTAGCCGAGCAACGACTGCTACCACATCCGATCCAAGGGTTAGGACACACTCTTATTTTGCCAATAGTTCAGGAACTTTAGGACTCGGGAATTTTAAATCCCATTTGGTACGAGACCGTTTTACGTAGAATTCAACGCTATATCCGAATTCGGCAAGAAATGTTAACTATTTTGTTTAAAAAAATTGAAGATGACCTTCGTATCTTGATAATAAAGCAAAATAACAGAACATTACTATAACACTACTATATATAGCATTGGAAACCACGCAACATCTATCTGAAATATTTTTTCGCAACAAATATTTTACGAGTTATTTCAGATTGTCGTGTTAATAGATTCCCCCGTGTATATTTCAGAGTAATCTTCAAAGTAATATTTCAAAGTAAATTTACAAAGCATCAAAGAAATTTTTTAATAATTTAATCATTTTTGTCGGCAATTTTTCAGTGTTTCAGCCCTTAAAATGTATCGTTAATCCTTGCAATACCATTTCATTTGGTGGACGCTTGAATGAACGAATGCGAGTGAACGAGAGAAGAAACGTCTGGAAAGAATGCACCGATTTTATTATTTCAAATAGTTTATTATTTAAGTAGCTTAACTGAAATATTACTCGTTTCGTATATTATTGTCCATTCTACCCAGCTGATATAATAATGAAATAAAAATAAATCAATTATTTCGTAAAAATAAAATAATTCTATTATCTACCTGTTCTTTCTTTTTTGTAGTTTTATAAAGCAATCGTAATTTTTTATCCATCTTAAATATTACAAAACTCCAAATATGCTGCACTTCCTCTATGCAAAGAGTACTCACTCGAGGTTCATCGCGAAATCTTTAATAAATCTAGGGGATATGGAAACGACGACCCTTGGATCGGTCGGACAAACATTCGACCAATTTCTATCATGCTTCATTACATCGTTCTTTCGTTATCTATTCCGCATAGAGAATAAATGTCCCAACGCGTCGTACATCCGTCCTGCGATATCGCGTAATACCGTCAATACTATACCTATATTTTCACGCACTCGTTATAATTTTTCTTTCCTTCTTATTCAAAATTAAATTTGATATTCGGTAAATTATTAATAATATCATATTTTTGGCATATGCATACGAAAATAATGGATTTTTTCACGAAAATATTCACGAAAATGGAACAAAATTTTGACGCATCTTCTTCCAAAGGTTGATTCGTACTCGTCGAAACGAGAAATGGTTAAAGATATCCAACGCGATAAACAATACGATGATAAGCGAAAATCAGCCTGCACGGTACGATACGTCGATAATAATTACATAACCTGGTGCTCGTGCAATCGCGAGTATTATCATAATCAACGATGCGTTAACGGAAAGTATAGATCGTCCAACAAAGACGATCGTTTCGGTCTCCAACGTTTCGTAGATCAACTATTCGAACATTTTGTAAGAAATTTTGATAACTGATCGTTTAAAAATGTAAACGAAACTGGGGAAGCACATGTAAAAATTCGATATCGATATTGCGTTTCATATTAGGATGTACACGTGTGTTTCGATGTTTCTGAAAATTCGCACAAAAAACATTTAATTAAACGCCTATACGCGATATCGCAAATATATATTATACAAAATATATACGCACGGTAGATAATTACATACATGATTATTTCATACGCGAGACATTTGTACTTCATTTTAATCATAATATGGCTAATAACATCACATGTTAAATGGCACATGGAAAATCAGATCTTGGTTATATTTCCATTAAGATACGAGGTACGTAAAATGTGCGTCAACATACACGTAGTACAACGGACACGCCCTTCTTATATTCGTAGAAAGTAAAAATATTTTCTCGGTGAGTAGTTCTGTACTAAAATGGAAATAAACAAGCAAATACATAAATATAATACAATTGCACGTAACAAACGCTAAATGGTTTTGTATAAATCTGCATCTATAAATACATAAGTAGCGCGGTACTCGTCGATTAAAAAACATATCGGAATTTATAAAATTCGACGAGCAATCATTCCAAATACGAACGCGATTACACCGCAATGTAGATTCGTATAAATAATATATACAGGGTGTCTCAGCAACGGTAGTAGTACCGGGAAGGAAGTGATTCTACGCGCAGAAACGAATCGAAAGAAAGAATAAAATTTTGTCATTCCAAGTTTCGTGGTCGAGAAAATCGACATTGAATATCCACCGAGTACGCGTGCACTTAACTTTGGCTAACAAGGAGAGTGCAAGTCCTTTGGGTCATTGATTTGGTTAAAACTTTGCAGATTTATAGATTTAGTCATCCAGTTCAAGAAAATATATCATTATAAGGGCAACTACTCCATAGTTTTCGAGATATTTATTATTAGAATTTTATTACTGCGTTAATTACAGATTTATTTCCAATATTCATCGAGTACCATTGTAGTCTAATGGCAACATCCGAAAATTCCCACGCTGGTGGCTCGAGGTTCGATCCCGTTCGTAATTAAATAGTTTCTTTTTCGATATACTTTTATTTTGTATTAATTTTTCGCCCATGAAAACAAATAATTTTAAATAAATTGTAAATAAATTTCTTAATAAAAATATTTATTTTTTTTATGCTTGACATTTTTAAAAATATTATTCAAGTCTGTTTTCCAAAAGACTTATTAACAAACAGCAGATGTTCCCGTAATAATACTCCACTTATTCAATGTGCAAACTGTGGATGTGTCCTACGCTTTCCCTGTTTCTACGATAAGTACCACTGTTGCAAGAAAAAATAAGTACTTTCTTTGTTAAAAAATTTTATTTACAATTTATTTAAAATTATATGTTTTCATGGGCGCAAAATTAATAGAAAATAAAAAATAGATGGAAAAACAATTAATTACGGACGGAAGATCGAACCCGAGCGCCGCCAAAGTAGGAATTTTCGAATGTCGCCGTTAGACCACAACGACACTTCGTAAATATCGATAACTATTCGGAAGAAATCTGTAGTTAAAAATAAGAAAGCTTTAATCATAAATATCTGAAAAATTATCGAATAGTTGTCTTTATAATGGTAAAAATTTTCTTCAGCCGAATGACTAAATCTACAAACCTGCAAAGTTTCGACTAAATCAATGACCCGAAGGACTTGCTCTCTCCTTGTATAACGGATGGAGCATTGGTATATCAGCGTACTCGGTGGATATATTTGCGTCGATTTTCTCGACAACGAAGCTTGGAAGGAAAAAATTATATCTTCATTTTCGATTTGCTTTTTCACCTAAAATCACCCCCTCCGCGGTAATACCACCGACGATGCTGATATTTCGATGGTCCATGAGCCTTAGTCAAAGTTAGTGCACGCGCACTCGGTGAGTATTCAAAGTCGACTTTCTCGAAAACGAAGCTTCGAATGGAAAAATTTTATTCTTTATTTTCGGTTTCTTGTTTCACGTAGTATCACCTTCTTCTCGATTGTACTACCGTTGCCAGGGCACCCTATATATAACGAGAAATTGATATTTTTCAAATTTTTGCGGAAAAATCATAGTCATAAGCTTCTCGACTTTAACTTTCCGCTAGTAAAATTATTATTCCGTACATTTACGCGTATTTTACCTATTCGCAGATAAGGAGAAGACGCAAATCCCATAATTCTTAATAGTCGGTGCGATAAACACGAATACGAATAACGTAATTTTTCAAAATAGCCATCGTAGAAGTTTCAAAAAATTTGCACAAATTCAATGTAAGAATAACGTAACATCGGTTGTATTTCACTTAAAAAGGTCGGTATCGTTACCTTCTCGGCTAATTCCGAGAAGATGATTTAGGATTGTTTAAAAGGAAATATTTGAATAAAATAGATCGAAATCGAAATGTTATTAGCTCTGAAAAATTCGTTTTCCGAATTAAGATTGACGCGAACGAGTTATTCTTTCGGCTATAAAACCGTCGTTTGTAAGTTTCTTAAGATGAAAACATAGCGATAGAATAAACAACGGCGATATATCGATATTCGATGGAAAAATGAAAAAAACGATAAGAGAGGGAGTTAGAAAAAGCATAAAAAATAATAAGGCAAATGGTATACGCACCTGTGGTCTGTCGAGCTGGTTATTCCTCGCGTTATCAACGGTTGCACCGCCTACCGCGACGACACTGACAGGCCTCGGGGCATTCTCGGACAGAGCCCCGGCCATCGTACGACTCTCAACATCGGACTCCAGGGTGTAACGCACCTTTTCCTCTTCTTTCTTCTTCGACCTCCCTCGCTCTCGCACTTAATCCCAAACTTCAACGTTCACGCTCCTCCTTTTCTATTCCTTTCTTCCTTTTCGCCTTTCCTCGACTGCCTTCCAGTCTCTCGCTCTGCCTTTCTCTTTCCTCTGTCTCGATCGAGTACTCTTTTACTACGTATCTCTCTTTTCATTCATTCCACGCGGAACGCCTTTTTTCTTCCATTGTCCGTTTATCGCTTTTCTCTTACGCGCGCACCTCTACCCGTCGTCTCGCGAACCCTTCCGTTTCGCTTTATTCTTCCACTTCCCCCACCCCGCGGTGTGATCTACCAATTTCCCCCGCCGCCGCAGCTACCAACGCCGCCGTCAGCCGTCCTACGGCCCCTGCTCGCCGGTGCACGCGTAAATCCGCTTTTTCCCCCTCTACCTTTATTTTTGCCTTGCAGACATTTTTCCTGTCCTCTGGCTTTCGACTATTCCCGTTCTCGCCTGCTTTTCGTTCCCCATTCGTGCTATACTTTTTCCACCGTTCCTGTCGACTCGCAGGCGGTGTTTGAAAAACCGCCCACTCGTACGCGCTATTGTCCCCTTTTAACAACGCTACGCGTTAACGTTGCGCGATTCGATCTCTCCCTCTCTCTCTCTTATTCGAAGCTGTTACAGCTGTGCTCCTCTGATCAAAAATTTTTCTTCTTTTTCTTCTCTCCTTCCTCTCTTTTGCCCATTCGCTGACTAAATTCCGCAACTTTGTCCGATGCTAGAGGAAAAGTAAACTCGCGTCGCGTTTCTTTCTTCCGATTTAGATATTTAAACGGAATTTCTTAAACACGAATAATAGGATTACGGGAAAAACTAACGCCGAAACGATTTTTCCACGGTGTAAAAGAGTTCGTCGTGGAGAAAACAAACAAACGATTCTCTCGTTTCTTTTCGTTCAAGAAATCGCGAAATCGTCACGTTTGATATTATCCCCTGTGAATTTGGTCCTTGTTCCCCGTGTTCCTCCGCGTCGTGGACGCACGTTCTCGAAACCTGTGAATAAGAAACGTGCCGTGACGGTGATACTTTTATTACGTGTTTCCCTCTTTACCCCGTGCATTTTCACGCGTCAACATTGGAAAGTATACCGACGTGTGTTCGAAAAGCGAGATCGAATGCAGAGTACGATAAATCGGTAGATCCGACTATTCGGAATTATTTATATCGTTACGTCGATTATCGATGTGTATATGTCGCGTAACGAAACATAGTTTCTAACCTAGAATTTTCAAAAAAATGCGCGGGAAACGCGATACGAGTTGTTACTCCACGAATTTTATACATCGCGTGAAGAAACGATTTTGGAAATGGAAACGCGGAAAGGTAACCGTGTCTGGTAGTTTCGATAAAAAGAATTATCTCGAGAAATCGAGGACGAAGCTTGTTCGATCCGAATACGCGTCTAAATCTAACCTGCGACGAGATTGCTTTGTTCTCGTTTTCTACTCGTTCCCAACCAGTAGAACGAAGAACGAGTCGACCTCGATCGAGTTAACGCTATACGAGCATAAAATTTCTGTAATATAATTTACTATTTTCTCCGTGATGAGCATCGACGATGAAACACGTAACTGACCTGAAACTAACTGTATGGGAACGTTTACGTTGCAAATTATCATCGCACTCGCGACCGACCGTTTTGAGAAACGGTACTTCTCGCGCTTGTGTGTTTCTACGTCTTCGTACGATGATTCACGTGTGATCCGATAGCGTGACAACTTTCCGCCAAAACTCCTATCGCTGTCGATCAGAATTTCAAATATTTACCAGACTCGCGTCTATACGCGCCACTCAAAAACCTTTAATCGTACGAGAAATCAAATCCCTCCAATGCATATACGTGCCACTGCTTTCAACCTTTAAATAGTTTCCAAATTTACTGTATATATATATAAATCTATACTTCTGGTATCGCTAATAAAAAATTGAGTTGAACGTTATTCGCGTTACGTTTTTTTCTTAAAAACCTGTTCACCGTGCGATGCGAAAATATGAAATATTTTTGTTACTCTGTTATCGGAAAACAGTGAAATTTAGTAACGTCATAAAAATAAAAAGCCCGCAAAAATAAAATTTTTTGACCATCGATTATAGTTCGATCGCTGCTCCTGCGATCTTTTAAGCTCTTTCCATTAATCATAGATCGACAAATCTTCGAATCAGATATTTCTCTCGATCACTCGAATTACACCGATATCCACCGAGAAACTAATCTGTACTTTATCCTAATTAAATCTTTCTACGTGAATAGTCAAAACTATTAACAGAAAATCGTATACCACGCACGCATGTATACACGATTTTAGTGCAACACGTCGCGTTTAAACATACGTTTAACACTTTTATGATAAAGACGATAGGCGAATCGGTAACTCTTTAACCTGATTCTTAAATCACTCTAAGTCACTAGGGAAGCCTTCACCGATCTGCTTCGAAAAAAAAAAGCATCCGCATGAAACGATCTCGTGGCAACCAGTAGTAGCTAGTATGGAAGGCAGTCGAGTAGAAAGAAGCTATCCTCTACCTCGAAATCACGCGCGGTCACACCTTGCACTAGTTAATTTACCTTTTAAACCAACTGCTCACGTTTCATACGCTTAATAATTATCATTTTCCACATTTCTACGCACGATTTACACTAATGTCTATTTAAAAAAAAAATAGGTCGGTACGTGATACCATAATTTCGAAAAGAACACCTCTAAAAACGACGCATCTCGAACCGCGATAGCGGCTCCACTGGTACACGAAGCATACAACTTGTCCTGTACAAAGTGCAGAACCTTCGCGAGCGCACTCGTACAGCTGACAGTCGAACTTGCCAAGTGAGAGCACCAATCCTCTCTTGGCTCCAGTTGAAAGCGAGTAGATTTTTATATCGTCCATTAGATCGAGATAAATACATCGGGGACAGAGAAAGACTATGAAAGACGTGTATTCGCAAAAGTGAGAAAAAAAAAAAATAAAGAATTAGCAAAGTAGAAACATCCTCCTTTTCTTAATCCTTTTCTTAACAGCTGCATTTTTCAACGATACTTTCCTATTATATCCTTTCGCACCATCAAAATAAATTAGTTATATTTTGTTTTAACGCATAATTTAACTCGTTGTTCTTTTTTTCATATCGGGTAATACGTTAAAACTAAAACAAATATGAAGTGTAGTTATTAATCAGAGTGTTAAAATCGTTCCTCTTGTTTTTTACGTTATAACATATCGTAATGATAATATGAGCTATATATGTATAAATGATACGATAAAATATATATATATATATATATATTAAAAACTACATTTTAAGTAAAAATTTATTTTCACGCGTATTCTAATCGAATAGCAAAATTTCCAGCTTTATGTACAAAATGAGGTTAATATAGAAATAACACTCGTAACGATGTATTATTTCTCTATCGATCAAAAATTTTCTCGCGTGTCTATAATTTAAACTTGGGCTAACATGTGGAAATCTCCGTAAAGTTAAAATAAATAAAGAATTATATAAACCTTAGACCCTCATACACTTTACGTATATCGTATTTAAACATTTAAAAACCAAATAGAATATATATATATATATATTAGGTGAAGTAAGTTAACAATGTTGGCTACCACCTGAATATTCCAGTATTTGTATTTATAAAAAGAAATCCATTATTTTTGCATAAAATTGAATGTAAAAATAATGTATTTCTTTTTACTTCACCTAATATATATAACGATAAAAAAAACACGATTAATTTTACGATATAACTTACCTATCGTACTTACGCGAAATGTTTGTTCGATCTTTTTAAATGAAAAGTACTAGTAATCAAAAATAGTAATTACATTCATTATGATTTTTCATATATACAAGTTCTATTATTTTGAAACTTTTTAAATAATCTACACCGATAGTTTCTTTTGGTTTCTTTTGATATTTTCAATTCTAACCATGATTTCAAAACTTAAAACTTCAAAATAAAAAGTATGCTTAGAGCAAATTACAAAGTTAAATCTCGTTTGTACTTTCTTCTAGTATAAACTAAATATAGTTTCAAAACGATTATAAACTCTGTAGTAATATATAAAAACAGATAGTAAATAAAATTAAAACAAGAAATAGAATACATTGTGTGTTTAGTAGTGATACATAAATCAATATTTAACATACAATGTTCATTAAGATGCGAAATCGTAGAACCTTCAAAATTGTGACATTTAAATTTAAAAATCATAGTATTAACAAAATTTATATATGATATTTACGTTATTGTATCCAATTACTTCCAATATTGATAGTAATTTTCATACTTTACATCATTTCTAATTATTATAAGATAAATATAGGACATTATTTGTGCAAATATGATTATTAATGGTGTTTTATTTCAAACTATGCAAGTAATTTCAAGATTTTGTTCTCATGCTACATAATTAATCTCCTTGTTTCAGCATTGTGTTAATATTACCACTATCTGTTCTTAAGGTACTAAAATCTATAAATTCAGAATTTGCTAAATTATTAATTAAACAATGACGATACGTTACTATTGTATTAAGAGAGTATTTCTAAAATGATATATTAAAAAAGTTAATGATTCGATAACTGGGAAATAAATATAAACTGATAACTCCTATTGCTCAATGATTTTATATTGAAGGTGCTACAGTTTACACAAACATATGACTGCTCAAATATGGCATATACAATTTGCACCTAAATTTTTAAAGAAACTTAACACCTAAGAGTGAGGAAGTTCAATGTATCTGCATTTTGTGGACTTCTTTACACACACACACACTCTTTCTCTCTTTCTCTCTCTCTCTCTCTCTCTCTCTCTCTCTCTCTCTCTCTCTCTCTCTCTCTCTCTCTCTCTCTCTCTCTCTCTCTTTGTTATAAGTAATGTTACTTATTTCGTAAAAATTATTATATTACTACTTATTTTGTTTAAAATCAAATTTTCTATGGTAGAAAATATTTGATTTGTTATAGTAGCACAATGAAAGAATATTTTCTTTACCAAGAAAAGAAATTAATCGACTTATTTTCTAAACATTAAAAAATTAAAACGAATACAGAAAGTAGGAGGGGGTCTCAAGGACTCGTAAAATGCAATTAGGCGGGTATTAAATTCGCTGAACAAAACTGCAGCGACGCATATGTTTGTACAAAAACTATGACTAATTTAATACAAATATAAATATAAATATAATTATATCTATATTTATATTTATACTTATTATTTATATTTATATAATATTTATATATGTATAATATGTATACACCATGTTGAAGCAATGTCTTCAGGAATTCTGGATTAGCTGCCTAAAAATCAGCCAATAATTCAATTCTTTTGATATTATTAATAGCTACAAACTATTTGTAGAAATGAAGAAACAATAGCTTAAGAATAGTAAATGGTATACATTTCATCTATTTTAGGAATGCCATGAACTGCTTTAAAGCATTTAATCTAATATATAGTATTTTTAATAAAATTTTATTGTTTGAATGTATTATTTTAAGCAAATACTTACGAACCACGTTTTGTGCATCTGAATTAAATTTTATCTTTACTTATATTAAACTAAAAATTAAAGTAATATTTTCAGTTAAACGTACTATATATATATATATATATATTTGATCCAAAAATAAAAATTTTGTCTTGTTATTCGTTTGTAATTATTAAAATAATAATTGTACTATGCATGTTTTATCATTGTAGTTTGTCAATGTTACATATCTTTATACCAAGTCATAAAAATCATTGTACTTATGTTTTATAATATTTTACTTAAAATAATACCTTCAAAATATCAATGAAATTATTCGTGTCATTTTAGACGTTTTGTAGCCAAAGATTTAAAAACAAATAAATATTAAATAAATCCACCACAGTTATACGTATTCATTATTTTACGTACTTTTTATGCACAAATTACTTCATAAAATGCCTAGAAATTTTTATCTATTTCTCGATATCGTGGAATCATAGAATTACAGTATAAAAGTTGGCAGTGTGCGTTACCTTCTATTGTATTTGTCAATTTTTCTGTTATAAAAACAACTACTGTTAATTAGTCACACGATCACACAATTGGTATAAAACGTTTCATTTCCTACTAACATTTATTAGTTATTTTGCTTTTTGAGAAATTAATATTTATTTCTAGTTAAATACCTGCATTATGATATTACCCTATATATTTTACTTTTTAATATTAATTATTATCATATAAAACAAATAATTTATCGTTTAACAAAACGATAAATCTCTTATTTTTAATTGTTCTAGGGTATCTATATTTTTTGTGATCAATTCATAATTTCAATATGAAAAACTGTGTCTAAAACTTAAATAATTATTTATTATAAATATAAAAACTTATTTGATCTTGATTAATCTTTGGAAGATTTAAAGATTTTCTTCGTTCAAATGTACTGTATAAATGAATAGGAGGATAGCACAAATTATTATATTATGGAGGAATAACTTTGTGCAAAAATATTTCTAATAATTAGTGAAATATTGTAAAAGTTTTAGCTCATCCGAGTAGCAAGTTAAATATTTGCAAATTACAAGTTTGTGCTACCTTTCAATACTCATATATACGACTTAAAACCAGTTTGTTCACTTGTAGTGTAACGACATACAGTAATAATACAGAGTAAAAGTAAATAATAGATTTATAAACTTGCAGCACCGCAAAACAGTTTCCCTAAGTACACTGCTCAAACTGATATATACCTACAGTAGTTAACAAGTCTGCAGGCCACAATAATGTAGCCCCATTGTTTAGTTGATTAACCTAGGTTTTAAGTGTATTTCAAAATCTTGTATATATCCTACCACATTTTCTTTTCTCATAATGATAGAGCGTAATTGGATTAGAATATTTATAACGAATCATGTATTAAGGTTAAAAATAAAATACATTAAAATAATGACAGCAATTGAATTCATTGAAATTAATTTGTTTTAGCTGCAAAACTGATTTGTAAAGAGACAAAAAATTGTACTACTTAAAGACTGTAAAATAAGGAGTACATTGTTATTGATAATGTTTCATTGAAAATTCATATACATTTGTATATGAAAATTCCAAACTTTATGTATATAAATTGGAAAATCTTAAAAATTTAGAAATATATGCTAGTTATTAAAACCTATTATATTACTGATATGTAAAGAATTACATAAAATATACATAAGTAAGTTTTAAAAAAAATAACATAATAGACTATAAAATACTTGAAATTTAGAAGATAAATCATATATGAACTCAGGTGCCATAAAGAATTTGGAATTATTATATATAAATGCATATGCATATGCATATACAGGATAAGTCATACTATTAAGCCAGTTGATACCTCGTGCTCATTACAGACAGAAGAAATACATAGAAGTAAAAGTAGAATGTTACTTTTTACTGCTTCCCTTGTTTTTTAAATACAACATACCTAAAAGATGCAGATATACATTTTTCTTGTTAAATCTTTATACTTTTCTATACTTTGCAATTAATACATTCACTTTCTTTTATTCTTAGGAACATTTCACATATAAAAGTATTAGGTTATGATATTAAAAGGGAAATTAATATTTTGCATGATATTGAAAATTTTTCGTAAGACGTATTTCGTCGAAAACGTTCCTTAGATATTAATCATGAGTAACACTGAAACAAATTACCGATTAGTGATATTTGATAGCTCAAGTACACGGTTATCGGTCAATAATACAGAATTAGATACTGACAGTTTATGATCATTGATGACGTTTACAGCGTGAAAATCCAATGTTTCGCAGCGCATAAGCAAACGAAATTACTTGTTCAACAAACTCGATCTACAATTATGTTCCAATGCAATTGTATTTCTGTTTTCGATCAAAATGTTTAATTAATCGACAAATTACATCGATTCTACCGATTAATTGGTATGGAGTGTTTGATTGAAGTATATGGATTAATTAAATTAGAAACAACTCAGCGTAAATATGAACATTCCACGGAGCACTAACTTTGATTCTCAAAAATGCTTATTGATAATATTTTTCCGAGTAGTAATTAACAATATTTTTAACCATGGAATTAGAGTTGCCAATTATTTACTAGGAATGTCCATTGAATAGTGCAAATTAATCAAATTTAAACTGTATTATATAGAACCATGACCATAAAATGGAGTACACTTTACTCTTGTATATCATGTTGTTTAGATTTAGCTCTTTTCGATTTGTTTTTCAGTAAAGTCACGTGAAAAATAAAATCTTTCTCCATTTGTCCGAATACAATAATTAGACCAATGAATTGGATTACATTGTGTAAATATAAACAGTGATAAAAAATATAGTAAAATGATTTATTAAGTGATTTATTAAACGATTTACCGTGTAATAGTGAAACGTTGAAACATCTATAATAAAATAAATATTTTATTCTACAATTTAAAATATGTCATGATACATTGTTTTTATAAATAAGCGTTTCCCAATGCTTTTATATGTAATGCATATGAAAAAATCAAACTGTGTAACAAAAATATACAGTTTCATTAAGTGTCAAATGAAGAAAAAAAAAAAGAAGATAAATATATATTCTTACTTTTTAAATGTATTATTATCCCTTTTTAAAAGTAAAGCTATAAAAAGATAGATTTTCATATGTTATTCTACTTTTTTTCTCTACAGGTTTTTTCTATATCTAATCATACACGAGATAGAACCGTGCTCAAACGTGTGACACATTGTATACGAAAACTCTTGCACAAAATTCTATGCATAAGTCTCTGTACATATCAGTGTAATTTCTAAATTTGGAGGAAATCTGAACACTTTTTATCGACAAGATTCTACTACAACGATTACTTTGATTTGATACATGTGGACACTTTGCACCCCACATGTTTTTGTGCACCATATAACAATAGTGAGTTACATACATCACTATATTAGTACGGATAATAAATATAAAATATTAATTGGCATACAGTGCATATGATTCTGTATTAAACTGTATAATCTTGAAATTTAATTGGCAGTCAAATGTTTATGTTGATTTGTTCTCAGTCTTATGAGAACTTCTTTTCAAGTTCAAATAATGGAAGATGTAAATTTTTTCATACAAACTATCGTAAACTCTTATAGAAATTGTACCATAATATAGTCAAAGATATAATTATGCTTTATCATCAAAACAACTTGACTCAATAATATTGTTCTTTGACATTACTGGAAGAATTATTTTACTCTGGAAAAAGGATACAGAAGTTTACTTCTTTGTATCATACTAATCTCAAAATGTCTAACAGTTCCAACAGTTATGAAGGTCCCAATCTAATATGCTATCGTTTTAGCAAAGGACGGAAGTGGAAAAGGAAATATACTAGCTGGAATGTACATATATTGGTAGCAACGAAGTTTCCAGAGAAAAAGAATCAGTCTGTATATAATGCGAATTTAAAATTTATAAAGCGAAGTGTACTTTGAGAATTAGACTACACCGATATCTTTTGCAGTCTTCTTATTTTAAGGCATAAGTATTCATTGTACTTACTTATCGAGTGCAATGCTACTTTAGTATATATTTGTTTATATAATTTGCTTTAAAAATGTAATTTCAAAAATTTGTATCACAAAATCGTTAAACATTTACGATATTACTATTACTAAGTACAATAAATATGTTTGAAAAAGGAGTTTAAAGAGAAATAAATACGTTGAAACGATATGAGAATTGCAAAAATAGTATAATGTTCAAATGTCTCTGGAAACTTCATAGAAAGCTCATAATATTTTGATAGAAAAATAAGAAGCTTTGTTCTATAAAAAGAGAAAAAAAAAAGATTAAGAAACTCATAAAAATGAAAATTATGGCGTGGAAGAATACAATCCACTACATTAACTTATACGATTATAACAGGATAATATTGTTTGTGTAATATAACTTGTGTTTTAAGTTAACACAATCAAACGTGGTTTAACATTCGTCCAACGCCGAACATTTTTTTCATCTCAAAATGATCATTGCAAAGTTTTACGCTAAAATTCGAGTTCATATATGACGTTTATCTGTTTAATCTTGCAAACTGTACGCGCTCATGATCTACCATATTATACGTCATAGCATGAGAAATTTATGCTTTTGTCATCGACTTTTGTTACTAAAATTGCGTTCTTCATGGTAGCACTAGTAATCATATATATATATATATAAAAGAAAAAAAAGGAAAAAGGAAAAAAGATACAAACGAAGATAGCAATGATTATGAATTTAAGCCTTGACGCTTTTCTTCTTCGAGCATGGCATCAAGCTCGTCAGTAAGGTTCGCAAGCATATTTCCAATGTCGTTCAATACATCTGCTGGTTCACTACCCCCAGTGTGATGGCTTATTCCATGAGTTTGCATATTATTGGTATTACCACTTGCGTATTCTTGTGCGCGTGCAGCTCTTTGTTTTATCGTTCCAGCATTCTCATTTGCAAATGGTAGTGAATCTGATTCTGTACTGGAACTTGACTGCAAAAATATAGTCAATATTAATATGGTTACATAACACGAGAAGATCACACGGGAAGAACATGATAAATCTACCTTTACTGATTTTCCAACTTTAGTACTACTTAGTGATGGAAGGAAACATTTAAAAAGGAAATAGTTCAAATTTGTTAAATTTTAATATTAGAATTTGTTAAATTTAAAGATGCAAGCCTCGAATATTATTATTTTTCGGAATTATTTTAAGGAAGTTTTAGTAATACGAGATTAATTGACAGCATATTGAATTCAAAAATTCTCCCATTATAAAATACAAAAAATATGATTTATGTTCTTGCTTTGAATTCTTCGTATAAAACGCATAATAATGTATTACCTTATATATTATTCCGTTTTCAAAGTTTATATTCAATAACAATTAGACTACTGTTATAAATTATACTTTCATTTTTCTATTAATAGTAAAATTGTATTAACCAAAAGTTCTTTAAAATGAAATTTTTCTTTTCTAATCGTTACAAACATAATTTTATTTGTGACAAAGAATTGCTGAAGGGAAAAAGCTCAAAATGAACGTGGAAATGATCATAACTAGTACTATACTATTTCTTTTTTTGTCAAGCGAATACGTATATTTCTAAAGAAAATTAAAAAAAAAAAAAAGTGAATTTCGATATAAAATAATAAACATAAAATAATTTACATAAGCCGTTTATTACTATTACTTTTCTTTCTATCGAAATTTAGAATTTAAATTTAATTTTCTATTTAAAAGAAAAATAAATAAAGAAAAGAAAAGAAATACATTTGTTTTTCTTATATATTTGCTTCAAACGAACTTACAGTGTGTAATATTTTAATATTATTAACGTGAACAATTTTTGTTTAATTTTGTTAAATTTGGGTTGACTTTAACGCGTGTACAAATATACGAGTAATATTCAGAATATTTAAACAATATTTTTTCTACTTTATTATTGTAACATGCAGAAAAAGAAACAGATAGATAAGAACAAATGCTTTTTCAAATTGATGTATAAGATATTTGCAAAATGGCATTGAATATAAATGAAATTTAAGAAATTATCGAGATGCACGTGACGACGCTTAACAAACATGATTTTGAAATAAATTCATTTAAGTATAATCGACTTGGTTTAGAAATAAATCGCTGTTTTCATTTGTTCACGTTGAGTCTGCCAAAAGTAATCTAAATAGGAATGAAGCGTTATAAGAAAGTTAATCGAATGCTCCTTATTCGTTCTATCGATACCGTATTTTAATGCACAATTCTTAAAATAGCTAAGCACGTGAAATTGAAATAGATAACTTCACTAATAATGTTCAGAGTAAGGGAGTTTCCGAGTTATTAGCATAGAGAATATAGAGGAAATAAAATTACCTTAAAACTGGCATCAGAACCGTTACGATGCTGCAGAGCAAGGGAAGCTATTAATTCATGTTCTTCATTGACATTGATACTGACACTACCCCAAGAACGAGACATGGAAGAAGGTGGTCGATTTATCTGCGGTGGAGTCGATGGCACTGGTGCAGGTGCAGGTGGCGGAGGAGAAGGATGATGAATCAAATGATGATGTTGATGATGATGTATATGATGTTCCTCGCAAGAAGCAGTTGGAACTGGTCCGCTGCAATCAATCACAACATCGCCAACTGCCGATCCTCCAACGCCCACAACAGAACCGCTATTATCTCTGGAGCTTTGGCGCCTTGGAGGAGATGGCGGACAACGTTTTGGAAGATGTGGACTACTTTCAAGTCCATAAGTTAATTGATACTTGTTATCGAAGTCTCTTGGTAATGACTTAAATTGTCCTGGAGTCGCGGTGACCTATACCAACAAAAATAAAAATACAACGATATTGGAAATGAATATTTCTCTCTATAGTTAACATATTTTTGAATAAAATACGTTGTTTTTCATTTTCAAGCCATAAAGGAATACAGCTGATTAAATAAAATCAAATATAAACGATAAGTATGTATAAACTAAAAAGATTAATAAATTTAATCGATATAATTTGCGTTTGTATTATAGTTAGGAACGATTCCTTTTCTTCATATTTTTCGAAAGAATCGTGGAATTACTTTATGATTAGTGCAATAAAAATAATGTCACGTATGATATTATCCTTTATAGAATTTTATAATCCTTTATAAAACAGTTCAAAATTAGTAGGAATTAATAACTTTTTTTTTTTTTTTTTCAAATCGATAGGTAAATTTTTGTTCACTCTAAATCGAACAGCTTGTACATATAAATTATAATTATAATAATCGTATTTAACAAGCAGTTGTATCGATTGTAAGATGCATATAAAAATATGGAATAATTGATCGAATTGAAAGAGTAAACTTTGTCAGATGTATCCTTTTCTAAAATATAAAAAAAAATGTTATACTTTGTAAAAGCTTAGAAAATTAAGATATAAATTTTAATTAAACTATCCAGCAAAATCAATCTGTGGCTTAAAAAGTAAACTAAGAGTAAAAAATAAAGCAATAAACGAGACGATATTTAAATGTTAAATATACTAAAAGGTTAGTGTAATTTTTCCCGTATGATTTCTCTTATATTCATTTAATAATGCATTTAGCGTTTTATCGGACTTAATCATCATAGAACTATAAAATATAACGTATTAATTCAAAAAAAATAAAATATTATAAGCAAGGTTAATCGAAGAATATTAAAAAAGTAAGGTACCGATATAGAAATGATTTTAAATATTTAAAATAACACGCGAGATATTTGAATTTAATTAGTAAACAATACCTCGGCATCATCGATAACGATTACGATTCGATTTGCAAAACATTTTCGATGCAAAACAGTTGCTACAAAGTTTTCTAATTAAGAAACAACAATCTATATTCATTTACATAAATACAAAACGTTTATCGGTGTAGAAATTGATTACAAGACAATGTAATTAAGTTGTTAATGAAAACAGAATGGCAAACGAAATACATAACACGAAAAGCGTGTAAACGTTACTCGAAAAGATAGATCGGAGAATTTTAACGTACTATTCACATCGATCAAATTGTCCATATCTTTGTCACCGTAGCAATAATGCGTATGTAAGATACGCATAAGAAAATCACTTCTTCTTCGTAATAAAATTAATTTGATTTTTTATCACTTGAGTATTTTATAGCGTTCGATAACCACAAAGAACGATGAAGAACGTGATAAAATTCTGGATATATTCGCTGACAATTTATCAGATATTTCAAGTGAAAGCAAAGATATCGATCATTACGAGGATGATATCGAAAGCGAAAGAAGCGAGGAGGATGAAGGTGATAGCGACGAAAGCTCTGACAATGGTAGCGATAAAGTTATTTCTTGAAAAAGAGGAAAAATAGTAATTTCAAGCGATTCCGAACTCGAAAATTTGAATAATTCTCCACGCGACTTTGAGTGCAATTTTTACTTTGTCAGACAAGACGACGATTGGTAGGATAAATACTTTCGACCTAATTCGACTGGTATCTCGACTGGTAATGACAATGCAAACGCGACTAAATCTTCGTCCAGGCTATTTAAAATTCAACCTGTGCTCGATCATTTACGTAGAACCTGTTTTGTATTCGTTCCGAAAAAACATAATTAAAGCTAGCAATAAAACTATTGGTCCGCAATGTGTTCATATACGATATTCATATCAGCTGCCATACATTTGAAAGCAATTTGTAACGAATATTGCTAGTAGATATTTCCACGTCTTAAAATGACGAAGTATAGAAATACATAAATATAAGCTCGAATAATTTTGAATCAACAATAATCGGAAATTTTTATTCGCAAGGTTAAGTTTGAAAAATTTACGAAGAAAAATATTAAAATTGTTTCCAAGCGACTGATGAGGATTAGAAAAGCGTTACGCGATTGAAACGAAAGCAAGAAATGAAATAAAGAAATAAAGAAATAAAGAAATAAAGAAAGAAAGGGTGCGACGAATGTCGGGATTGGTTTTGTTAAAAACGAAAAATTTGACGATTTTATCTTTTGCACGTAGTTTTACACGAATTATGATTCGCTTTCAGATGTTACTCCGCCTAGCACGCATACACGTGGATATGACGATATTACCTTAGCTACAGGTCGTGGACGAACAAGACAATGTCTTGGCCGCGGCAGAGTTCCACCACCTGCGTCCACTACAGAAGTATCATTTGTAGGAGTCAAATCACCATCTTCGAAACTGCGTGGACGCCATTCGATTGGTTGCGGATGCGTGGAAGGTGCCGGTGACGGAGGATACCCAAGAGGGGCATCTTCCAAACTTTCTAAAGATTTTCCACGCGAACCAGTCCGACCAACGATGTTATAATCGGCTGGTAAAGCAGCGTACATACTTCTCCACGCAGCTCCAGACGTAGTATCGCTTCCTCCTCTCTGAAAAGACCTCAAAACAGGCGAGGAACAGTCCTCATCGGGAGATGGCAAGTCTGGACCTCCTCGCTGAATAACTACGTCCTGAAAATATAGTCGAACAGAATGAGATACGAAGGAACACCATAGAGTAGAAATAGAAAGAAAAAGATTATAAACATTGAAAATATATAGCACTCTTGAAAGAAAAGAAACATTTAATAGTCACCTTGCGCGCGAGGCTAGTATTTTTAGAGTTATGGGTCGTAAATATGGTTATGACCCAGGTATATCGAAGTGGTGATAAAAAAAAAGTACGCTAAAGTACGCGTTATATGACCGTTATACGAATGAAAACACGAAAGAAAATTGGGAGGTAATTTTGGTTTCACGCTTACATCGCAAAAATTACGCATCGTTACCTCATCGTTTCGCCGGTCTAGACGAAGCTATATTTACACTGTTGTATATAATGCTTTCCAATAGAAGAAAAGCGATAGCTGAATAGAAATTGCTTCGATATATATATATATATATATATACACACACACACACACACACACACACACACACACGAATCGTGGATGATTATATAGAATTGTCTGTACGTTGAGAATCAACGAAAGTCATGAAAACGTTTATTTACCTGCGTTTGTCCAGGATGTGGAGGTAATCGTGCAAGATCGAGCGGTTGTATACGTTTACCAGCACGAATATCCTTAACTCTCTTAATCGCCAACAATAATTTTTTTTGATGACCTAGACGCACGATACCGATGTCTTCTAGATCTTCCCAAGTAAGAGTCGTCACGTCTTCGACCGAACGCATACCCTGTTGATGGAGAGCAGCGAGATATTCTTCGAGTCGCAGAAGCCTGAGCCATTCTTCTAACGAGCCAGGAATATGCTCTGGCAAACCATCTCCTATATTTAAATTATCTATTTCCGCTTTCAAACGTTTTCGATGATTAGGCTTCTTAATTCCTGCAAAAGTATCAAATTTGAAAGATACATACGACGATAACGAAAGCGAAGAGTACGGGAGAATCGAAGAGGTAAATATTATTTCTCGTTGTGAATGGAAAAAAATAACCGTTAAAAAGTAGAACAGTCGATATACTTGAATTCAATTTGATCGTACATTAAAGAAACACGAACGCCAAGGTAAAAGAGCTTGGCTTCGTTAAAGCGTTTACGTGAAAGCGCTTATATTTACTAGGATAAACGTACGAGTAGAGAAACGGAGGTAAAATAAAATAAAAACGCGATTTCGAAGGTGCGTTATCAAGGGGTTGACACTCCCTTAAACGATAAAGAAACTTATCTTATACGAATGTCGTATAAATATATGACATTTGTCATAAAGGAATGCGGTTTGTCGTTCATCTAGTTAAACGATTAACAAAGATGCTATCACGCTATCCTACGATTAACACCACGCGACTTCCACGTCACTGTACCATAAATCGTAAACTCATAAATTTAACACTCGTATTCAAATTCACTGATTATTTCGGAGACTTTGAACACCGGAATGTTAAAAGGAATGAAAAAAAAGAAAAAAAAAAGAAAAAAAAGAAAAAAAAAGAAAAAAAAGAAAAAAAAAAGAAAAGAAAAGAAATATGTACATTCTGTTTTTACTACTACTATTTTTTTGGTTAACTTTGGTTTACCGTCAGGATTGATCTAGTTACCTATCGCTGTCAAATCTTCCGGCGTCATGCGCGTTATCGTAGCTAAATCGTAACCAGCGGAAGCAAACAATGGGAAGTATTCCTCGAATTGGAGTTCAGTCAACCAAGCATGAACGACGTCGAGATCTGCCGGTCTGTCGGGATGGCTGCCAAGCGAGCTTATAGAGCACCTGGGAGATGAAGCAAGAGCACCAGGTCCTCTAGGACCTAGATGATATCCGGAGGCTCTTCCAGAATCTAACGAAGCGGTAGAATGCCTGGAACCAGAACCTGATCCTGAACTACCTGGGCTGTCTCTTCCGGGACTTTGTGTCATATCGATTCCTAAAAATAACATACTTATCTTAGACGGTAAATTACATTCCAATTTTAATATCCCAAATATGCATTACCACGCGTTCAAAATCAGCATCGTTATCGAATTTGGTAACGATTTATCGCGTTTTAATCGCTTTCGATACATGGAGAAATTCTTTAAGCTAACATAAAATCGCGCGTCTTCTTCCTTTCATCTATTACAGAATTTCAAATACGTAACGATCGGACATGAACGACTATACATACACGCGTATGTATATCGTATATCGTAGACGTAGGAATGCTTTGTCCAAAGTATTTTCCATGTGCAGCGAATTATACGGAGAGAACAAAGTTATCCATTCCTGGCACTAGGAAAAACAAAGTAAGTTATTCCTTTTTCTTTTGCAGCCGAATAACTGAAATAACGCAACAGTTGCAAATTGTATTTGTCAGGTGTTCCGTTTTGTTGCCGTGATACCGATACGATCGTTTCGTAACTCAAAGTGGAAAAACTTTTAACATTGGAAAAGAAAAAAGAAGAAGCAAGAAAGGAAATGAGAAAATTGTCCATGCTTATTTAGCTATTGAAAAATGACAATTTGAAAAGCAAGTTTACGAAGGAAAAAATCTATAATCCACGATTAATTCGCGCAGAGTTCGTTCAACTCTATTATTCATTTGCAGAACGACGTATCGTATTCGTTGGACATAATATTGGAGAGAATGATAGGAAAGAAAAGGAAGGAAATACTGGCGAAGCGGAGGCAGGCAATGTTTAAAGTTAAAGCAAATGGACGGGATGACGAAAGTATCGGATAGAAGAGGGGCAAGCGACATTATCGGATTTAGTAAGAAGGTAATTGGATAAGCATCGCACCTTGATCTTCGGCATGGGCATATTTGCCGACGACTGGTGGAAAGGCAAAGCCAGGGTGGGTAAAAATAGGCCCCGGACTCTTTCCAGATGGCACTCCGTAAGAACCCTCGTCGGTTGTTCCGCCTGGTCCACTTCCGGGCAGGAAACAACTATCTTCGCTGCTCGCATATCCAGCGGAACCAAAGGAGGAGCCAGAATGTCGAAATACATCGGGTACAGCCGGTGGTGCCACTTTCTTCGCCTGTGTCACAGCTTTGGACGGCCGGTTCATGCCGCCAACTACGCATACGCGATATTCCTTCGTTAGTTTCTTATTCCATCCTAGTACTACGCGCGCTTTCCTCGCATTCGCGTTCGAAATATCCTACCATTCGCGAGTTTAATCGCATTTACGAAAATCAAGCACCTAGCGCCTAGCGAAGCGGTAAAACGAGTTTCGCCATTCAGACCGATTACGAGATGCGCAGCGAGATACCATTACGTATCGCGCATACGATATAGCGCTAAGGATTTTGCGGGAGATATCGAAATTTCATCTCGTATCGGAAGATATAAATTAAAGAGAAATTACGGTGCATCGGCAGAGTACTAGAGAACTCGTCTATGCGTCGCGTTGCCGATAAAAATACGAACGAAGCTAAAATCGATATGACGCGACTACTTCGAAAAGACGATAGGAAAAAGTAATGCGCGGAAGAATAACTGCGACATTCGATTATACCAAGATCGGATTAATTCGTTACCGGTAATCGGATTTTTCATTTACCGCGATTCCAGTAGTAGAAGACAATGGTAGACAGTTTGGACGCGCGAAAAATCTGTAGGTTTATTTCACGACAACGTTAGAGAGCAAGGTAGAAACGAAAAAGGTTTGAGCAAGATTTAGCAAGGTACCGCACTACTAGTAGCGTACCGACGAAAGGAGAACTACGGATCTTACGAATGCTTTCTTTTCGAGTTACGATTCTTTAAACTTGAGCGTCAGAGAAAGCGTTCCAAGTGGGTTACCTGAGCAAGAAGATAAGCTTCGCAACGCGCGCTCGTTCGATCGAGGACGCGTTCGAAAATTCTTGCTCCATTTTGAAATTTTACAGTGTGCCCGTGCAACGCAAGTCGCAGACGATACTTTACGGGTTAATAAATAGTTTTGGCGAATAACCCGTTTAAGATGCACGCGCGTACGCGCGATAAAGAAATTTAGAGAGAAATTTCGAATCGCGATCGGTCTGCGGTTATTACGCAAAACGCGATACCACGAAATATCCGGAAGATGAAAAAATGTAAAGAACACGTACGCGACAAGAAAAAGCGGCAGAGGATAACGTTTTGCTTGCTAAATACTGTTCGCGCGGTACGCGCGATTAGCCAAATTAGGGTTTTCTTTAGGTGAAAGCGGAGAAATTACGCGAAGCTTACTCTTCGAATACGCTTTAAACGGTAGTAAAATAGACTTAAACGAACACGATAATGGGATAATTGGATAAGGCACGAAGACGCGAAATTTTTCTCTTTCTCAGCTCGACATGGCGGGTAATAATTATTTACAAAACATTCCAAATTTTTATCCTTTACGAAGTTTACGCGATATTACCGTTCGCATTTCCACCGCCAAAACTGTATAAGCGTCTCTAATTTCGTCTTTTACCTCTTCCTCTTTTTCTCATCGAACATTACAACTCGTATATATGGGATACTTTTCGTTCGGACCAGCTACCGATTTATCCACCTATCGATATACATTTCGATGCTCTCGACTCGGAAAATTCGATCGCTAATTTATTTCTTCGGTGTCGCGCTTTAATTGTCCCTTACAATCTGTTTAACGAGCGAAAATGTAAATGTACGAATGTAAATACGCCACTTAATAAAGCAAAAGTGGTTTGAAGCGGAAAAAGAGCATTTTTAAAGGACTAATCGATATACTCGATGCAGAAAAACGGGTAAATTGCAGAATGAAGAAGAGAAAAATCGTCCAAATTTTTGAAAGTTATTTAACGTTAAATTTGTTTGAAGATCGGCAAAACATAATCGATACCTTTGCCGTTAAGAAACGAATTTTCTGTTATTGTCTCATTAACTGCGCTAATTTTTTGCTGCTTGTAACTTTGGAATAACGTAAACGATATACCGTTAAAATAAGCTGTTCGACGTGCCGTACATTTTTCGGGGTAGCGATGCAAAACGTTAACGATACTTGGAAAATTGATTCGACGAATCGAATTAATAATAGAAACGGCGAATGCATCTTCTCTCCGAAAATAAAGGAAAGAAAAAAAGAAGCAGAACGAAAAAAAAAAGGCGGAACAGAGGAAAGGAAAAGCAGAAGAAAAAGGTGGAGTACGCGATAACTTATAATTCCGTAGCGGAAAGAAAATCTCGTTCGAAGAAGTTTCCATAAAAATATCGATTTTTACGAATATCTATGTTTTTAAGAGGAAAAATACCGCGATGGCGTGAAAGTCGATATCGATATTAGCAGCGATTATACGGGTAGCTATTCTGTCAACGTTGAACGTTCTGTTCCAGCGTTATGCATTCGAATAGTTTTGCAGATTGCTATTGACATTAGCGAAATCTCTAGCGCTTCCGCTTTCTTCGTTAAAATTGCGGTTGTGACGCGTAATGGCGTTTCCTTCGAAGCCTTCGAATCGTACAGATTTATTAGTCTCAAATTCCATAGATTATCTTCGATAAATCCTCGAGTTTTTGTTCGTTCGTCGAGGCGTGGAAATTGCGCCTCGTAACGCGTATGTATATTTAAATCGAGCAATAAATCTCTTCTTTCTAACCAGAGGCTTAGCCGGAACACGACAACGCTTGAAATATTTAAAACCGTAACAATTTGCCGGAGTGGCGGAAAAATTTGGCGGAAAAATCGAATAACGGCGAGCAACGCGTATCCTTGTTCCGGGAAATTCCGTTTCCACGGTCTGATATCGCGTAAATTATCGAAGAAAAACTTCCGGTGCAATCCGTACGTTCTATCGGGTGTATCGTAATACGCGAAGCGTATACGAACGACACGGTTAAAAAGACAACACGATAAAGATTAAGAGAAAAGTAATGGAGACTAGATCGGGTAATTTCACCGAATCGACAACGACTAGATGAAGCAACGTTTGCGCGTATTTACGCGATACTAACGCGCGTAACAGCTGTTCGATGTTCCACGAAGATACAGCGCGTCGCGCCATCTTTTCCTTCAATTGTCATCGATTCGGTAAAATTAGCGAATCCGCTTGAATCTATTTGCCGTCAACTAACGCCAGCGACACGATACACTTTTACAGATCACGCGTAATTCTTCCTTAACGAACGTTTATGCGAATCGCAGTGCATCGAGGATATGGAAAATCGCAGCGTCACTTTTCGCGTTTCAACGTTGGCCGAACGATTGGAAAATCGTGGTAAACGGAATGTACGCGTGTAGGACACGACATCTGGATCACCCTAGAGCGAAATTACAAAACCTTCGATGCTGTGGGAGTAACAGGTATCGAGAGCCACGAACAGAGGCGTTCCACATTAAGTACGTACAATTAAAGTAGGCCAAGACATACTAAGGAATGTAGAACAGTGATCTGGAATAAGCACAGATATTATTTTATCAGCGAGATCGCTAATGTCAAAGGATACGAAACGTTACGAGAATCTAAAATGCAGCTATTACCGTTTCCTTTCAAAGCGATTCGTTATTATAATACCGAGAGACAGTTCCGTAATCCAGTTCGGGTCTTTCAATTTTACACCAGTCGCCTCTCATTTTCAGGAATAAATGTATTATTTTATTTAAATGTTTACACGCGTGCAATTCATATATATATATATATATATATAATCATTAACCAAGCCATCATCCAACGATACATTTAATATGCGATTTATAATTCTATTAAAGCGATTACGTAATCGCTAACGAAGGCGGTACTCGGTAATTTATTTACGAATTAAAATTCACAGATTCCCGCGATACAATAATCGTTTAAAGCAACTACCGTTAATTACCAGATACATTTTATTTGGGAATATACAAATACACACACACACACACACACACACACACACACACACATATTCGTAGTCGTATGAAAATGAAAATGAAAATGAAAATGAAAAAGAAATTAAACGGCAAGAATAAATTTAATCCGATACGATATTGCGAACGGTTTGCTTTCCGAGTAAAAATCTCGCGCAGTGGAAAAACTGTCTTCGCATTCGGCGTAAACGAACGGATGATATTTCGAAAATGCGCGATGTCAAGCGATAATGCGAAATTGCTACGTTTCCTCCATCGTACGTTACATTATACCGTTATACTATTATTCGATCCGTTTCAGAAATGATAACGAAAAACTGCATTCGCGTTGCATATTTCAGCGTATCGTGAGCAGCGTATCGATGCTCGATCTAATCTTTAACTCGCGATTCGTGGTACGTAAGCTGTGCGTTACCATTAACCGGAGCAGTTCTTATCCAGCAACATCGATAATAATAATAAATGGACGGTAAGTGTCAGAAATGATATGGAAAATTTGTACAGATCGTAATCTCCTCGACGGTATTCATCGGTCTGCTTTACGAATAATACCTAAAGCCCAGGGCAAAGATTCAAAAATACGAGGAAAGATTAACGTCCTCGACAGTGCGTACCCCGACGAGCTGGAGAAAAAGAAGGAAAAATTGCAAGATATACGCGCATCGACACGAGTCTCGAACGAAGAGTACCGGAACACATTTCGAAGCTAGCAGTAAACATAGCATAGAAACGACCACTAATACGATGCTAAACAGCCGGATGCATGTCGAAGAAACTCAAAGATGCAATAAGGGCGACAACAAATAGCGTATAATCATCAACCTGGTCGTAAAATCAATTTATCCAAAGTATTTTATCTAGTAGTAAGTCGACGATCTGGACGAAACTAGAAAGCTCAGTCTGTACACGTGATATAGAAATAAAAGGAATATCGATCTTAAAACCTGTGCCTACCTATGATTATATTTAACATTTATTTCCTACGTCGATAATATTGAAAATAATATAGATAAGCCAGTTATAGGTACGTAACGTTATGCTACAGATACAAACATGAAATATTTATACAACGTTTGAAATATAAATCAAGATACGAATAAAAACTAGCGATTAAATAGCTACAAGAATTCAGACGGTTATCGTAGAGCATTTCCAACGAAATAGTATAATAAAAAAATTATTACAATTATTTACGTCATTAAAATTACGTATATATTACCGAACGTATTATATCCCATATTCT